ATCAAGTAATAATTCAAGAAAATAACTTTCAAAAATTAATCTTTATTTATAATAATTTTAAACACTTAATCTGTATTTTTTTATTATTATATATAGTAAAATTAATATTTATTGTATTTCAGTATTTATTTCTTATTGTTTGTGATAAATGTATTTTCAATGATTTATGTATAAATTTATTTTGTTTTGTTGTTTAACAGAAAACTTTTAATAATTATTGGAGATTAAAGTACTATTATTGAAAGTTTTAAATTTAATTTATTGTACTTATCGTATTTATTATATTGTTGTTATAACTTATTGATTAATTTTTATTAGAGATTAAAGTATTATTTGAGATTATACTATTTATTGACTAAGTTAATATATTTTTAGTACTTATTGTATTTTTGTAATTACTGTATTTTTCATTATCAATATATTTTCAATAATTGTGTATTTTTGCTATAAATTTTCAATAATTATTGGAGATTAAACTATTCTTATTTATCAGAGATGAGACTATTTGGGTCGATTTTTTGGCCAACCAAATTGACTTGGTTAGGTTGGGGAGTTGGCCAACTAAAACCGATTAACCTTTATCCAACCCACTCAAGTTGTATCTGTTTGGGTCGATATTTTGGTTTGGTCAGTTGGTTCAAAAGATTTAAACTTAAAAATTAAATTAAATTTTAAAAATTACTGTGCAATTATTAAAAAATATATTTAAAAATTAGATTTATGATATAAAGCATTTTAGACTAAGAAATATGGTAAATTTTCCACTTTTTCATATTAAAAATTATATTTAAAATATAAAATATTAATATATATCCATGGTTAGGTCATTCGGCTTTGGTCGGTTTACAAATGGCCAAAACTGATCAAACTTGGTCGAATTGAGAAAATTTTGAACTGAAGCCAACCTAAAATACTAGAAAACCGAGCAACTCAAGTCGAGTTGATTGGGTTGGTCGATTTCATCAGTTTGATGAATAAACCTAATTAAAATTAATTATTTTTATTTGTGTATTATAAAAAAATTATTAAAAGTAGTATATAATATATGAATAATTATTAATTATTTAAAAAGTTGAAAATATAAAACAATTGTGTACTCTTATGTGTTTCTATTAGGGTCATTTACTAGAACACACCTTTAGGGATGACAATTTTCCCCATCTTTGACGGGGACCCGACTTCCCCGACCCGGTGGAGCTGGGGATGGGGTTTGTTTTGGTGGGGATGGGGATTAATAGGAATCCCCATTCCGGGTCGGGGATGGGGATTGAGGTCCCCGCCCCACCCCGATCCCGATTATTTATATATATATATATATATTAAATGCTATTTATATTAAATATACTATTATATTATTTATATTATATATATCAAAACATATTTAAAATGATCCCTATTGGGGATTGGGGATGATGGTTAATTTAAGAGTCGGGGTTAGGGACGAAGAATATGATCCCCGCCCCGTTGCCATTCCTACACACCTTATAGCTTTACATATTTACTTAAACCTACCTTATAGTTTTCATTTCATTAAAACATCTCGTATATTTTCCAACTTATTTACTTAATCAACATTTCATTTGGGAGTCTTTCTTTTTCCATTAAACCCATGATTTTTTATTCCAAAAATACCCTTAACACTTTTTTTTGTATAGAAAATAAAATTGACCAAATATAGTCAATAGAGTGGTTGCCCGTGTCTTATTAAGGGCAAAAATGGTATTTTTTTTATTTTCTTTTGATTAAATTTATTTAAATGAACATTAGGGTCAACACTGTCATTTTCCACTGTTATCTAATGGAAGGTTGATTAAATCCATTGCAAATTATAAGTGGTGTTTTAGTAAAATGCTAATTATAGGGTGGATTTTAGTAGATCCATGAAATTATAAGAGGTATTTTAATAAATGACCTTTTTTATTATTTAACTTTCGCTTAATAAATCTCATGCATCACACGGGTCCCCGCTAATTATATAATAAGAAAGAGACATACAAACTATAGAGTGATTATCATTATCTATTCGGTTGGCCCTTTAATACCATCTAACAAAATAAATAATTGAGTGTATAATGAATATATTATCCTTAATAATTTGTTAGAGAATCTAAATTTGAAATATAGTTACAACAAGATAGATCTACAACAGAGGATACCCATATCGAGTCTTATCAGGTAATCCTTCTCATAGGTGGAGACGTAGTCATGCATGGGACTGGGTTTCATTTCACGTGGACTGATCTCTCTAGCTAATAGTTTGATCAGACTATCACCATCACAACTTATCTCTAGAATTGCTTCAGTGAGAGACCATATTGTTAAATTTAACGACTTCTGTCCAAACAATTGCGAATGAACTCTTTCGGGTCCTTCCAAAATTAGCTTGATTGTCAACGTTTTGCTTTTTTAGGCCTAGATAGCATCACTTGGAAGCTTCAACAGTTTCAATAATTAATTGCACTGATTAAACTTAGAGCTACATCATATCTTCTTAAAGAAGTGGAATTGAGAATTCCAAAAGCCTCATTAGATCGAATACGTGGATTTCTCCCTAAAACGAATTTGAGAAGACCCCAGGAAGTTCTAATAGTGTACTGATATTAGGACTCTGAAGTAGAGACTAAAATGATAAGCAAAACTCAACTTAGTCACATCATCATCGACCAAGCCTTATTCCAACTATAGGAGCGAGGTTGGCTAAGTGAATCCTGTTTGGCCACTACACCATGTAAAATTATGGGTGCTTAAATAATTTATTATTATTTTCACCCAATAAGTCCTTTTCTGTATGTCCTTATGTAGCTAGTCACATCTCTGTCTAAAAGATTTCAAGAATAAATTCACATGCTTACATTTTTAAATATAAAGGACCCTTTTCTTGGAGGCCAATGGATCACATGTATTGCCTAGAAGGATATCATCCACAATTACTTGCATGACCGAGGCTACAATTAGACTTCCCTAAATTAATTAAGCTGCCTCCCCCCTTCAATAATCATGTATCATATATATCCAATCTGGACCAACCATTGAGCACATCTCACCCAAAGATCATCTCTCTGAAGAAAACGAAAAGATCAGACAAGTTTACGCCACTTGATATTTTAGTTATTTTTGGGATTCTAATTGTTGAGGAAACAATAAATTATCTTTACTTTACAAAGATAAACATTAATTGCGGCTTGAGAGGACACCTCATTATTGCCTATAATTAACATTTTTAAATTTTATTCAAAACGTTTTTAGAATTATTATTGATTCTTTTTTTGTTAATTTAAGGGGAACAGAACATGACCGATAGATTATATTGTATTTGTGTATTAATATGATGTATTTCAGAAGTGACTTTAGAACATTTCCCTAGCCATAGAATTTGTAACATTTATATATTGCAAATGTTTTTAATACTAAAAATTAATATTTCTGAACAGAAAGGAAAAAGAAGAAGAAAAATGATAAAAAAAAATTCTAGAAATTTATCTATAAATACTGGGATATATTTAAATAAACTTCAGGCCATTTAATTGGATTTTTTTTGGGGAGGGGATTAGTATTGTTGTTGTTGTTGTTTATTTACTTATTTATTTTGTTAATTTAAGGGGAACAGACCATGGCCCATATATCATATGGTATTTGTATATTGCTATGACGTATTTCAGAAGTGACTTTAGAACCTTTCCCTTTTATTAACACGGGTTAGAGTAACCAACTCGACCAATAGATGTTCAACTGGGACCTACAAAGTGAGGTTTGTCGCAAAACCTAATTTGCTTCTGGATATTGGCACTGATTCAAAGTAAAGGACAGAAGTTGTAAATAATCAATACTGAAGCTAGATGGGGTTGCAGAATATTTTTTTCTACACACATGTTCATCTTCTCATCATACATCTTTCTCTTTTTATGGATGAATTAATGTTGATAGTTAATTCATCATATATATATATATATATGGATGAAGGGTTATTGATCAATGCAGCTAAATGTGAGTATAATTTCCTTAAAAACAACCCTATCTTGTTCATTATTTCTTACCTTAATCAGCCTCTTATTCTGTCAAAATCGTCAGGAAATTTTTCTCTAAAAAGTGGTCAGTGAGATTGTCAGCAAATGTTAGACGATGCTCAAAGTGAATATGCCATTTGGTTGTCGGCGAGTGCTCAGTCTGAATCATTGAAATCAACCTCTTCGACTGTAGAATGTGCGGATGGTCGGATCTATCTGTCCTTATCATATCAGCCTCTTAAGCTTGAAAATTTATTCTTGACAGAAATCAAGTCAAGATTCTTACAAACTCCAGTAAATTTTTTTCTAAGTATCTCTACTTAGTTTCTTCTTGTTAAAGTTTTATAGGAATATTTTATTTAAATGTGGAGAAGCTTTTACTGTTTTCTTTTAATTTGTGGGGAAACAAACATGGGTCTTTGCACTCTGATTTCTTCAAGGCTGCGTTTGTTTCACTGTAAAAGGATGGAAATTTTTCAAACGACTGAAGCGTTCTTTAGAGGCCGGCCCTTAAGTATTTCAGCAACAACTGTTGAAACAAACAGAGCCTAAAAAGGAAAAAGATTTTCTTGCCTAAGCTGGTAAATTCTCTGTGGCTGGTATTCATCCATAAACGTTGGGTACCTAACAAATATTCCATCTATTTGGTTCTCTCTTGGATGGGAATACTGGGGATAAACTCCAATTTTGATACTATTCTATCTAAACCATGAACCAACCAACCCAGAAATAAATCTTGGTTAAGTACAAGAAGGTAGTGACATCATGGAAGAAGGTGCCGAGAAGTATTTTTCCAACTTGTACATTGCTTCCAAGAAGTCGTCCAAAACCTTACCCCCTAAAGTTTGATAGGATAGGTAGCCACGTGTACAATTTAGGGCTTGATTTAGGAGACTGTTTCATATACATATATAATCCCCCTTAATTGATCAAATTTGCACTCATCGTTTCCTGCTTTCTCTTCTTCTTCTTCTTCTTCTTCTTCTTCTTCTTTAGCTTCTTGTAAACATGAATGATGATTATAGTGAAGAGAAGTCCTGCTGTTATTTCCATCCCAAAGCAGTGATTGTTGGAGTGTGTGCTCTTTGCTTGAAAGAGAGACTTCTCATTTTGGCAGCAAAGCAGGGGCATATTCCCTTATCAGAGTCCAGAAGAAATAGCATTCTCGAACACAGGAAGTTCCCCATCACCCTTCCAAAGATATTTGCTTTGGGTTCCTTGCTTAATCGCCTTGAGTTCTTACAACCCAAGTCTGCTGATGTTTCCGACGATGACTACTTGTCCACGAGCCCAGAAGGTACTTGTCTAAAATTCTTTCTTCCTAGCATATATCAAGAAATATAATCAGAAGATGAATACCTCGGTTTTTAGCTTACAGTATAGAAACCAAATGTACAAGTTTTCATAAGATTTGGGCTTGGGCTGTCCTCTCAATGCATATTTTCTTGGATTTACAGATTTCTTTCCTTTTGTATAAGGTTCTACTAAGTGGGGTGGGAGCTGAAAACATCGGGCTGCTGTCTAGTTTTATGCTCCCAACCACCCACCGGAAAGAGAAAGCCCATAAAGTTCGGTTATTATTTATTTCTTAAAAAGCTTGATTTTTTAGGGTGCCCAGTTGGAAGAGCCAATGGGAAAGACATTGTTTCCATACTGGAAAATATATCTAACATGCAAAATAGTGAAAATAAGCATCATCAACCCTACTTTAATTACTGATCTCCCATGCCATTTTAATTATTTTGGGTGGTTCAGATGTTCCTAGATATTAATTGGATGTTTCTTGGATGATGTGGCAAGTTTGGGAAATGTTCAAAGGAAGAATGTGTACAGAGTGGATGATTTTGTTCATCTGCACATATTTGTTCATGTCATATGGAAGATCTGTCTAGGCGGGAACAAGAAAGCCACACGTATGAAGGTCCCTTTGGTGTCCACTTGTCATTAAGCTCTTCTTGTCGTATTATCTCAGTAGAAACAAGTCCTACTTTTCTGTGATTGGTTGTCTAAAATTCTGGGTTTTAACCATTTGCAGATTCATTCATATCGATCAAGTTTGAAGACAATGGCGTTGCCTCATGGGACAAGGGTACAAGTTCTAGGGTTTCAAATGATCTCTTTCACATGCATTGCAATCAAAAGTTGAGTAAGGAAGCGAGGGAGGTTAAGGCTGTAGTTGAGCATAACAAACCACGTGCGACGCTGAGGTGGCGAAAGCGGATAGGTCATCTGCTCCAGATCATCCGGTGGAAGAGGTCCAACAAGTCTAACGTGTGCCATGTGGGCAGCAAGGTGGAAGGAGTAAAGGTGAGGAAGGGTTGGATAAGGACTCTGACAAAGAGAAGGACCATGGAATAAAGGGACATGAGGAAGGAGACAGGCCGACCTTATTACTTGGGTTTGATCAGTTAAACTTTAAAAGCAAAATACATTATTGAGATGGTAGATTCAGAAGGCTTTCCATCAATATTTCTATAGCCTTTTTCTTGCACCCTTGAGCTCTTGGATTTTCTAGTCTAGCTTAGCTAGCATGCATGAAAGAATTACAACAAAGCAAGGAAAAAAAAAAAAAAAAAAAGAAACACAATAAGATCGATGCTCCAGATCATGAACTCAGCCTGTCAGATCTCTATACTTTTTCTTTGATTAAGTGAAGACATTTTATATATTGATGGATGATCTGGGGCTTCAGCATTTGCAGTTCCTATCACGCTATGGAGCCATTGTTAATACCTTTTCCAATCTTCCTCAAGCTTACAAGTTCACACACAGCATCAACCCTTTTGAATTCAAAGTTTTAAGATTCTAAGAACAAGCTTCTTAAAGTGCCATCCAGCTTCCTACATCATTTTCTTTTGACCATTGGGAGATTGTATAGAGAGAGAGAGAGAGTCTTCCTTTTTCTAGTGGGCCTACTCCATTTACAAAATGTCTCCATGAGACCATGACCAGTGACTAGCTTTTCAGAACTCAGAATTTATATGTGTAAAGGTACTGTAATGTCATACTCATTCCTTGTTTGCTATGGAACTGGCCCCAGAACATTTGTATATCATCAACTGTTATTGATGATTTTCATTTTTATGCCTTTTGGTAGGAAGCTTGCAATTTAATTGATCTACAGAAAAAACCCTCTGTAACTTAATTAACGGGCATTCCTTTAATGGCTTGTAGAATTTATTTAAAGAAAATTGAGAATAATGAAAGGGTTTAATTTAGCATATGTCTATCCCCTTGAACCATTATATTTCACTGATATAAAGAACTATTTGAGTAGAATGCCATTACTCTTTATTACTTTGTTTTGTATAACCACCTTAACATCTCTTTATAAAAGGGGTCACTTACTAGAACACCCCCTATAGTTTCATCGGTTTATTTAAACCTATCTTATAGTTTGCTTTTACTGTATAGTTTGCAACCTATTTACTTAATCGATTTTTCATTAAAAACTATTTGTTTTGTCATCTGAAAATAGTAATATGGTCACCTAAGCTAAATGGGAAATGTTCAAGGGCATGGACCAATGGTTGTTATTCCAAAAGTACCCCTAAATTGAGTGGAAAATGTTCAAGGGTATGGATCTATGGTTGTTTAATCCAAAAGTACTCGTAACACTTTTTTGTATAGAAAACAAAATTGACGAAATAGAGAAAAAAAGAGTGGTAGTCCATGTTTTATAAGGGACAAAAATGGTATTTTTGTTTTTTATTTTCCTTTGATTAAATTTATTTAAATAGATGTCAGGGTTAAAACTGTAATTTTCTACTTTCATCTAATAGAAGGTTGATTAAGTAAATTGATTACAAACCATAAATGATATTTTACTAAAACACAAACTATAAGATAGGTTTTAGTAAATTAGTGGAACTATAGGGGGTGTTTCAGTACGTGACCCTAATAAAAACTAGAGAGAGAGAGAAACTAACTTTAAATCAAGGGAGATCTCTGCTACACACCGTGAATTGGTCATTTGATGGGCCCCCTTCCACAGTCTAGAAGGTTCTTGTTTGGTGCTTTGTCCCTCTGCGTTGGCTCTACTATGGAGTAATGGACCATTCCATGTAAGGACCATCATGGACCAAGAAAATTAAAAGTTCTCGTATGGGTTGGAGCCGAGCTAGAAACAACATCTACACAATTAAGAACAGAAAAAAAAAGAAAAAAAAAAAATACGTAAAATTGAAGTTGAAAAGGGGAAAGAAAAAAGCTCCGTTCCTTTACCAGTAAGTTGGGGGATGTTGGTCAATTGGGAAAGTTGATTGATTTTCCCACATTTATTTAAGAAAATTGTGTTGTGAAGTCCACTAAAAGTTAATTTTCTTTTGATGTGTTTTTTTAGGTGCAACTTGGGCAGGCTGGACCAAGTTTTAGTTCAACCCAGGCCAACTCTATGAATTGGGCCTCAAGTTTAAGCCTGAGATCAAGTCCGTATTATCCAACCTGAGTCCAGATCACACTAAAAATTGACATACATGTATGTGTATATGGCATGCATGTATGCATATGTATGCAAAATATGTGTCTATATATGTATACATACGTGTATAAAATCAAGCTTGGATTGGGATAAGGTCGGGCTGGGTTTGTGCTATGTAAGGGCTAGGCCTGATCCCTCCCAAAAAAATTAAAAAACTCAGACTTTTAGGCCCATGCCCATGCCAATGACAGAAAATCCAAGTCCATCCTGCATAAAATTGCTCGCTAGGTCGATTAGGGCTAAAGGTGGGGCCTCCTGCAAATTGTATCCCTATGTTTTTTGGTTATTTATCTTGAAAAGACTTGGGATCCATTTGATTTACAGTAATAGGGGTGTTGGATTTTAATCTCATTAGAGATTAAATCGAATGGGGTTTGATTGATCAATTACATGAAAAACAAACTTGCACACAAGACTTGGAAAATAGTTTTTTCTCTTACTAAAACCAGTATTCAACTTGTTCTACATTGGAAAATTATAAAACTTGTTATAAATTTTTAAATAGGAGATTATTTACACTCCTTAGAAATAAAGAGGAGAGTATGGAGGCTTATTACCGCGCAGTGCGCATGCGTGCGTGTGTGTGACGCAATGAGGCATACTTTGTTAGCGAAGGACAACTTCGATTTTTGGTGCGAAGTTAACAATTGATGTTTCAACAGTCACGATTCAGGTGTGATCAAAAGGCACTATTCAAAGCTAATAGTCATTAACTATTAACCACCTTTTTAATGTGACTGTTCAAGGAGCCTTTTTCTGAACCAGCACCCTCTTTTGCTCCATGACTCTTCAGAAATTATTTAAGGAGTGTGAATTAAGCAAATGCACACACAAGTTTTCCGAAATCACTCATGTCTCTCTCAGTTCAATCTGCTACAGTCTCACAGAAGGTTTTTTTGAAGACTCTTCAACTTTGCTGGTTGTAGATTCTCGCCCAAGACTCTGTTGTATCCTAAGAACAAATTTATCTGTAACAAAGCAACAAACTCAGTGGAACTGATTGGGGGCAAATAACATTCTAAAGATGGTGTCTTCAGACACACCTCAAAGCTTCTCATCCTTGGTGGGATAACATTCCCAGATTTGAGGAATGACCATTCCCTCTCCCTCCCTTGAGAATGAGAATCCATTCTTGTCAATTTTGATTCCAATTTCAGTTCCAGCCTAAACCAAACAGGCAAGGGTTAATAAAACATTTGGATTCTGAAGGATTTTAATTCCAATCCTGACTACAAACAAAACAAATCTTTACTCTTTTTCTTATAGTTGGATAAATTACTTTCCCACTTAAAAGGTGAAAATGATAAAATTAATTAAACTAAAATGCTCTTATAAAAAACATGAATAAGTAATTGAGACAAGGATAAATGTAATAATAGAGGAAAATGTTATCCGGGCCAAAGAAAGAGAAAGCACATAACATTATGTGATAATAGAGGAAAATGTTAACTCAATCTTCTTGCTAGCTGAATTGGGATCTGTTCCCCAAGAGCGTTTTTCACAATGACCTTACAACCACATTCCACCGTGTGTTAGAAACATTTCCATGAATAATAAATCGGGAGATGTTCTCACTGTACGGACATAACATGTGAGGTCGTTGTAAGGAGCATTTCCAGACTCCTACATATTGAGTTCTAAACACTGGTGAAGATCAAGGGTAACATTTTACTTTTCTTCTGTGAAAGTGGGAGTGTAGGGTATGGGAGTCGATGTGATTATTGGTGAGAAGATATGAATAGAGACGACAGACGTTCACTACAATCACATCTGGTCAATGTCAATTGTCTCTATATGGCCCAGTTTAACAAAACAATGGATATAAGAGGCTATGAAACATCCCATTCCTGTGCCCTACCAAGTCCAATCTCTGTCCTCAACACGTGAGCACACAGAAAGGTGGCCTAGTCAAGGCATTAAAAAGAGACTATCAGCCTATCAACGCCATGGTGGCCTTGACTCCTTTATTTGACATTTATATATGTTAGAAGTTATAACTCTTAATTGGGGTACCTCTCAACTAGGGTGGTAATTTTGACCCCAACCCATTAATCCATCCATTTTATTGGCGATTAGTATGGGTCGAGTAATCCATTAGAGTCAGTAAAAAGGAGTCAGGGTGAATTGAGTCGAGGATACCCATCAGAGGTGTAAATCGGGCTGGTCCACAGGTTTGGATCAACTCAGCGCAGCATGGTGCGATGGCATGTGGCTGTGCTAGCCCCGGCATGATGGTCCACGCCATGTTGGGCTTGGGGTTTCAAGTCCATGGGCCGATACAACACGGCATGACTGAGAGTGTTGTGCCACCCAAGGCCCATGTATCAGCACGACCAAGCCCACGGCACGACCCATCACCAACCGGCACAACATGGCTCGTGGGCCCATAGAAGATTATGCTCGACTTGCCTGATGAACTAGTCATTGGGGGGGTGTCTAACGACTAGTTTCAGCTTTTGGGGGGCATTTATGTATTTTGGTTTTGGGGGGAGAAAGAATGACACAAATGCCCCCCAACATCTAGTTTGGAGGGCATTTTGGGTAAAGTGATAAATAACTTTATAATGACCAAAACACCCCTCCCAACAACTAAAAAATGACTAGTTTTAGGGTATTTTAGGAAATTGAATTATTTTCAATTCCTATAAATAGCCCTATCCTCCACCATTGTGATCACACCAATTCAACAATTCTCTTAATCTCTTCTCTAGTTCTCATACTCTCTCAAGTCTCGATCTCTCATACATTCTTTGATTCTCCAATTCTCAACTTTATTGAAATTTCAACAAGAATAAGGCTTGCTCAATAGCTCAAGTACTTAAGTTAGAATTTAGGACTCTTGGACTTTGGAGTGGAAAGGCTTCACCCATTGAAATCAAGTTGGGATTTTGAACCGACAATCCAGGTAAGTGCAATTAAATTAATTTTATGTTTTTAGAATTAAAAGAAATGGTTGGCTCCTCCCAAAACCAATTCCCTAACATGTTCAATGTCGACGATATTCAGTCACGACATAGTAGTGTTAGCTCCAATATGGATGCTATTGATATTGACAGAACTTCCACCCCTAGTACCGATACTAGGTTAAAGAAAAAGAA